TACTTTCAAAGTATACATTTATTACGTCAATATAACGAGTTTATATCGTCTGATGTAACATAAATAACGATGCTTTAATGTGGTGTACGAACTTTCCGGAAAACGTGTACGAACTTACACGGTTCTGTACGAATTTTACCCGCCTCCAACTTTTATTCAACATACATATAGTATAAACTGATGAATGAAGCCAGAGAGTAAAAATTAACCCGAACATTAGGGCTCTTCAGGAGTCCTTTGGTTATTACGGAAAGGTGCATAGAAGCGATATGATTAGCGATCTTGTCAAAAGGTGTACGAACATACACGGACGCACTCTACGAAACACCGAACAGGAAAGGAGTAAGGAGTAAGGAGCAATGTCGTGCGGAAAAGGCGGATACTTGAGGTAGGCATGCGTCAAATACTTAACATATCTAAATGCATTTTGTACCAAGGATTGAAAAATCGAGCTTAAACGAACCATCTGCATTGACGCAAGCCATACTGCCGGTTTCCTGACCCTGTTCGTCGTCACTAACATCCAACTCAAACGATTCAGATTCTCTTATAACCTCTAAATCGGTGCAGTCTGGCTCATACTGGTATGGCTGAATGTCCTGTGTTAAGGAAACTTCTGGAATATCCTCGTTGTCACTAAAATCCACAGAATCCATAGTCCCGGTACCAACTAGTTCAGTAGTTGTTGTGACAGACGGTCGTCGCAAATGACGTCACAGCTCTTCCGGTTTAACGAACGATAACTCGTGCTAACTTGTATTTGAAATTTTCAATACCGGTTACAAAATTTGCTGATTTTCGCAACTTTTGTGTTTTCAAAATATTTTCCATTTTACGGAAGGGATATTTCATGAATAATTCCCTCAAAAATGCAAAATATGTGAAAATGAAATTGGGTTTTTATCACCTTTAAGCAGGGAATAAGAACTTCCGTTTAAAGGACTCTAGTATGTCTCGGCCTTGGGACAGAACCCATTGACTACTCCACCCTGTCAAATGATCACCACCAAATCCAAAAAGAGAGGTATTGCAAAGCAAGGCGCCAGAAAATAAAAGGTTCACTGTAGTTAGAAGCAGAGAGAAATACTAAGATCCCAAATATTGCAATGGGTGCAGCAGATCTATTTGGTCCCTTCCCGGAATAGAGGGCCAATCCACAATTCTGCTGGGGGTTCAAACATTAGTCGCCTTTTACGATACATGCAGATGTTACAGCAGTTGTATTCTGTTTTCGATCTCCGACCCGCAGAGATGGATCATGAGGAAGATGGACATAGGACAATATTGACATGAACAGTTTGGAAGATCGCGTTCAGATATGGAATAAGACATTATTTATCCGACATTCGATTTAATAAATGTCTTTGACAACATGTTTGAATAACATATATATGTAATACTTTTTGGTAACACGTGGAATGTTATTTTGTTTTATCACTTACATGAATGCATTTACCAACATAAGTACTTCAAAAAATATTGATATGTTCCGCCACTTGAATGCGTCACTCTCTGTACACTGTGTATATGGTATTCTCTGGTATGAAACATAGCAATTATATTAAGTTAAAATATATAGCTTAACTGTAATACAATAAACATGTTTAGTTTGAGAGATTCGTATCCTTTAACATAGAAGTGGCTATTTAAACACTAAGAGCCATGTCTCCCTTGCGGTGTGTACTGTGTGTCTAAGTTGCATCACATTTCACTTACTTAATAGCGAGCGCAGCGAGC